CACAAATACACAAAACTCAAGGCAGCTGGAACTCTGAGCCAGCTCCTGTCCCGAGGTAGAGGCAGAGCCCTTCAGAGGTGCAGCCCACAGGGAGAGGAGAAAGTATAGAACCCTCCTGCCCCAAGCAACTGGTTTCCGAATTTAACAAGGAAATATGTAAACATGTGTCCCTCCAGGGCTGGCTGTGACAAGTATACAGGACTACTCCTCCCCCCTCCCTTACCTCAATTTTGATGACTTTGAAAAGCAAATGCAGGGCAAAGCGGTCTCCTCTCTATCTACCCAAATGCAAACAACCGCAAAATCCTTTGCAATTTTATCTCGGGAAACAGGACCACTCAGAGCTTGCGAATCGCAGAGTTCCTGGGAGAGCTGTATTTGTGAAGCCCGGGAATGGGAAGCGAGTGCCGGGCTGGCTACTGCAAGATTCCGGCAGAAACTGTTCCCTGCTCTAAGAGTTGCTGTCCCTGCAAACCGGGCGTTCAAACTCGTGGATTCACCCTGGCGCTCATTCCCTCATACGTGGTAGTAGGTAGTGGGACACTTCCCTCAGAATTCAGCCAGAAGCCCCGGGAAAAGCCCATGCTCAGTTTAAAAAAAATACACGAACCCACGGCCAAGGTTGAAGTACTTACCTCTGTGCGAGACTGCAGCCGCTTGTTCATCTCATAGATTCGGTACTCTGGCTGCACCATGTAGGGTGTATGTCTCCTATAAAATGGGCCGAAAGGAGAAGAATAGAAGGGGTCATGTGGTGTGCTGGACATCTTGCCTGCTTGTCGAAAATCAAGCTAAATAGAGTAGCAGTAACGTCCATGCAGAGCACATGGGCTGTGTTCTTCACAGTACAAAGTAGACGCACGCACACACGCTCACACACACATACACACACACTCTCTCACACACGCGGAGGCAGCAGGCAGGCAGGCTGAGCACACAGGCTGGGAAGTGCGGTGGGAGCCTCTAAAGCCAGAGGAGGGGAGGAGGGAGGAGGGAGGGAGGGAGCGGAGGAGGGAGGGAGCTCGGGAGAGGAGGGAGAGGGAGAGAGCAGGAGCTCAGAGAGGGAGGGAAGGGAGCTTAGGAGGGAGGAAAAGAGGGAGGGAGGGGAGAGAGAGAGAGAGAGAGAGAGAGAGAGAGAGAGAGAGAGAGAGAGAGAGAGAGAGAGAGAGAGAGAGAGAGAGAGAGAGAGAGAGAGAGAGACTGGATTGCTGGAGGCACCAGAGCTTGTTTTTAAAGAAGCAGTTTGTGGAGAGGTCATTTCCTGTCCACACTGTAGACTAGTTCAAAAATATAATTCTCCTCAGACTCTGACAGGAGGTCTAAGGGTCTAAGGTTGGGTTTTAATTTTTTTTTTCCTCCAGCCAGGACCCTTCCCAAGCTGATTGCTTAAGCTTGTTAGCATGGAGGTGGTTTAACCACTGGCTGAGCCACTCACCCCTGACCATCCCTGCTTGGTAATGTATCCCAACTGTGACTGTGACCCACACAGAGGCAGGACACTGGGGTCCTGAGGACAGGAGCTGGGGCTGCATTCGCAGGCGAAGGTCTTTCTGCGCTCCCACCTTGTGTCTCTCCTCACTTGCTGTCCTTCTCAGAGCTTGTGCTCCTTTGGATCCCACCCCTAGGCCTACAAGTTGCCCTCTGCCTCCCCCCTTCTTCCCCCAAGCCTTCACTCAAGCCCTTTCCAGACCAGCCCATTTAAGAGGCCCTGGATTCAGGGTACCTGAGTGCTTCCAGGTAAAAACATTCATTCTAAATATGGAATATCTAAAATACTTCCATGAAGCAATGACCCTTTATTTCCTAAGAAGCCAGAAAGAAAAAGAAAGTCCCAAAGCAGACCTCCCAGTAAGATAGGAAAAACAGGGAAGGAGAAAACTCCCTCGAAGTGACCATGGAAAAATTCAACTGAGTAGGAAATTGCAGATAATTGAATAGATCATCTCGGAATAACACGCCCAACCCTGATGGCCTTTATTTTCCAAGATTAGCCAAGTCTATAAATCTTTTCCTAACTGTGGTATATGATAACTAGAAGAAAAGCCCAAGCAGCCCATAGCAGAGGGGGGAAATCTCCATGTGGAATTAAAGGTCTATAAGAAAATCAAATTCTGCTGGAACCAATGATACCAGACTTAAGACACTCAGGCAAAGCCAAGTCACAGAAAATTCAAATGTACTCAGCTGACACCTCGCTGGGTCAGTGGCATTAAGGAAAGGGTGCCAAGGACCACCAGAAAGCACGATGAATGTGAGACCTGAATGGAAATGCATGCAAATGAGACATTTCTTTTTTTTTAATAAGCAGATTAATTAACTTTCTGCCCCAATCATGGCTTGGGGTGTCGCCAAGTCGCTAGCCAACAGGGGATACAGTACTATTGCTAATTTTGCAATTTACACTCTGAAGAATACTCAGGCACAAAAGTACCCCAAGCTGCTGTCTTGATCAGTCTTTTTTCCATAAGTGCAAGAAATGTTTGCAGAGTCTGCCCCAAACTTCCAGCAGCTCCGCTCAGCACTGTCATTTTGAGTGCCAGGGTGAGATTAGGGGAAGTATTCCACCAAGGTTGCTAGGAACATGTGCCTGTGGACCCCAAGGCAGGCCAGCGTATAGAGTTTCAGGTTTCATTACAAATCCAAAAGCTGGACCAAATTGGATGCAAGGTTTGTCAAAACACACGACCTTCTAAAGATGAGATTTCAAACAAGTTTGGCATGATTTATGTTTTGGTATGGCAGCCACTGAAAAACCTAACGGTTCCTCATGTTTAAATTCCCAAATGAAAGACGTTCCAAGAGTTTAGTGCCTGCCTGCATTTGTGTTGACATGGTCTTTTCAGTATAAGAAAGTAACTCTTGGGTGAGCATGTGGGGCCCAGCAGGCATCGGTGCCAAAGGCCTAAGACCCCTTTGAGAGTAGACTCCTATCTGATTTAGCTAATGTTTGCCTTTATTCATTCTTGAGAACCATACCAAGGTATTGCTGGAACTACTTCTCGCTGTGAACACCTCTGGACTCCACAATCACAGCACTAATATCTCCTCTGCATCCCTGACTTCCCGTCCCGGGTATTTCAGAAGTCTCCAAGCTGGTCTCTCCTCACAGATTCACAGCTGTCTTCTAACCCACCTGCAGCCCATCCTTACTTGAAGCAGAATGTGAACTCTAAAAAAATGAAACCAATCGCCCCTTAGTGTCTCCTCTTAGCAGGATAAAAATGTCCAAGTTCCCCATGTTCAGGGTACACAGGCTGAAGGAGGCCTCTGTGTGTGTGTCTCTCTCTGTCTTCCTTTCCTCTCACACACACTAACCCAACCACACACTCACACTTTCATTTGTTTGCTCAATCAATCATTCATTTATTTATTGGCCACACTTATTCCTCTTGTGGCTACCATCTTTTATTTCATGCAGGGCAACATTTGTACTTTTGCCTAGTGTTTACCTGCAAAGTCGTAGTCATCCTTCGATCCAGTGAAATTGTCTCTTCCCAGTATGAACCTTTATTAATGCTTCAGGTTGTTTTTTTAAATTCAAGTTCTCTTCACAATGGATGAGGACTCTGGCTATAGAAATGATCAGAAAACATTTCACCCCTTACCTCCCCCACAAGCTACAGCCAACCACTGGGCCTCTCCTGTTAAAGGAAGACACTAATAGTGGCTCGTAGGTGGCAGCAAATGGTGACATGCCACATCTTCATCTATTAGAACCCCTTCCACCCTGCCTCTAAATACTCAAGCAATGTTGTGGTTATTTGATCTCTGAGAACTGCATGACTCACACGGAGATAGGCCATTTGCCTTCCTGTGCCCACCATCTGTGGAGGTAAGGGAGAGACTTCATAGAAGAGCAATTTGCATTTGGGAATAGCATTGCAAATTATAGCACAAGCTATCATGGAAATACCAGGAAAAGACAGAAAGCTGTTTTCCCCCTTGGGTCGATGGTGCCCCTTCTTCATTATCTCATTTGAGAGCTTCTAGACCACAGTGACAATCACTGCTACTTTGTCACTTGTTAAGTATTCAGAATGCGCCTGGCACAGTGCTGAGTGCTTGGCTCATCTTGCGATACCTCGATGGGTCTCATTGGATTCCTGTACCCATTTTACAGATAGGAAAGCTGAAGTTCTGAGAGGCTAAGGAAGTTCCCCAAAGCAAGAATGAACTTACATAGGAGGCTGGGCGAGACCTTCCAGAACCTAACCTTGCCTAACTTCCCAGGTCTCTTCACTCTACTGCTTGGAGCACAGGTTCAAAGTGTGGTAAGAGGATCTCTTCTCCTGCAGTCAGCAGCCAGCACTTGCCTAGGAGACCTAGGCCTCGTTCAGCAGGATGAGAGGCCACAGAATGAAGAGGTTCCCACGCGTCACTACCCACATGTCCCTGGGCCCCGGCCACTCTGAGCACTTTCCTGAGCCTGGTCATTTTTCTTACTGCCCCAAACTGCCAGCTCCTGCAGCTGCACTGGCTGGTGCCTAGTTCCTCACAGCATCGGGCTCCCTGGTTGCTTTTGTCCCCTGTCTTCCCTGCTTCTTGAGGGAGCAGCTACAACTTATCACCTTGTGGCCCAGGGCTCAGTCTGAGAAGAGAGGGAAAGAAAATATTCATCTTTGTGTTGTTTGGTGGTGCTGGGACTCAGCCTAGTACTTTCATGCTGACTTATGTCCTCAGTCCCATTTTTATTTGGAGACAGGATCACCCTAAATTGCTAAGCTGCGCAGGCTGGGCCCAGGCTTGCCAGCTTCCTGCTTCAGCCACCCAGAATGCTTAGTTCAAGATTCCAAAACTGAATAAACAATGTTTGTATATCACAAAGCACAAATAGGCCACGCCCCATTCTATTCCCTCCAAAAATGGAGCCTTTCTCCTTTAAATATTATTTTGTATGCTGCATATTGAAACAGCTCCAGAAGTCCTTGTGCAGATGTTGAGAGTGTCCTAAAACACAGGCTTCTTTTCTTTCATGATCTTATCTAGCTATGTTATTTATCCTTTGATTTGAAATACTTTTCTTTATTCTTTCTTTATTTTTGTCAGGGGAATGGTCTACGATGTGTTCAGGTCTCACTACTAGATCAGACTTGTAGCCATCCACTGTTTACAGCCTCCCAGGAGTTGGGATTACAGGTGCGCGCCACCACTCCCAGTCTCAATTGCCATCTCAGCATGCCCCGGGGGCACGAACCCCTGACCTCTGCGCCTGCTTGCAGGTGCTTTAATCCTCTGGGCTCTTTGGCTGACCCTTTTGAAATGCTTTTCTGTAGTTTAAAAAGTAACGTATTTCACCATCGATTCTGACTTTCATCTTTTTTTAAAAGTATTTAATGCAGGGTCTACAGGATCTCACTACTAGAGCAGACTCATAGTGATTCTCCTATTTTCAGCTTCCCAAGTGCTGGGATTACAGGCATGTGTCACCATGTCCAGTCTCAGTGTGTCCCAGGGGCAGAGCCTGCATGGCAGTCCTGGGATTGAACCCCAGGCCCTGCACCTGCCTAAGCAGGTACTTCAGTCCTCTGAGCTATCTGTCCGGCTCTCATCTTCTTTTGAAACCACAAGGCCTGCAGCCATTGGTATCATCCCTGAGTACCTGGTGTCTGGCAACTCGGCCTGACAATAGTGCCTATGGTCACGTACTCTGGCCACCACTATACTATCCAAGCCTCTAACTCTCACTAACTTTGTGGGTCTCTCTAGGAACTTGAAGCTCCTCTTCCTTCTCTCCAACTGCGTCTTTCTAAGTTCTTCTCCTGGGCTCTCTTTGGATCCAAAGGCTCATCGTCTTGCCGCCTTTCAAGTCCCCCTCTCTACCCTTCCTTTCCTGTTCTGCGCCCTACATTTTCCTTCCATGGTTGAATTCAGCAAACACTTGAGTGATAGGTCTATGCAAGGGACAGCTGAGTCATGTTGTGGGGGAGGAGATAAATAAGACATCTAAAGCATGGGTTCTGGCATCAAGGGCTTACAGACGTGCAAAATATCCCTCCTTCACGACACATCATAAACCAAGTGGGTATGAGCTAAGCACC